TTTCCCCCCCCCCCCCAGTTTGTACATTTCTTTATTTTTGTATAAACATACCAATACTTTTACTTTAGATTGACACTGCATTATAGTTTACAATGTTTAATTTAAGTACATACACTATTACATCTCATTGACGTATTAATTTTAAGGTGCAATTTATCAAAATCTACAGCAAGGATTATATTTTTCTTTTCTTCTTAGTTTTCTTTGGCACATTTCCTCGTTTGCTTCAATACAAAAGTGTAAGATTGACTTTACTCTGTAACACTGCAGGAATTCAAACATTTTTGATAGGATGTAAGTGAAAATTTATGTATACCCAAGCTATTTACAAAAAAGTCTCATGTATGAATTTCCAGTTTTTTACAGTCAGATGGCTGATGAGTAGATATTGATGTGCAAGGCAGAAAAGTTTGTTCTGTACAGTGACTGAATGATGTCGCACCATATCGTATGCAGCATTGTTTGAAATGCTCGACTCTCTGGAATTTGATCATGAAGAAGCTTAGAATGGGGTTACTGTTTATGGTAAATCACCAGAACATAGGACTTCCTTCGTCCATGAATATTTATTAAAATGGTATGATTTAGCAAGTAGTTTGGCACTGATATTCTGGTCTACATGGTGAGTCACAGGGCTAGGATTCAGAGTGACCTAGACAAATTGGGGGATTGGGCCAAAAGAAATCGCATGAGGTTCAACAAGGACAAGTGCAAAGTCCTGCATTTAGGACGGAACAATCCCATACACCGCTACAGGCTGGGGGCTGACTGGCTGGGCAGCGGCTCTGCAGAAAAGGACCTGGGGGTTGCAGTGGACAATAAGTTGAATATGAGCCAACAGTGTGCCCTTGCTGCTACCCACATACTGGGATGCATTGGTAGCTGTGTTGCCATTGGGTCAAGGGAGGTGATTATTTCCCTCTATTCAGCACTAGTGAGACCACATCTTGAGTACTGTGTTCAGTTTTGGGCCCTCCACTACAGAAAGGATGTGGACAAATTGGAGAGAACCCAGTAGAGGGCAACAAAAATGGTCCGGGGACTGGGGCACATGACTTACAAGGAGAAGCTGAAGGAACGGGGCTTATTTTGTCTGGAGAAGAGAAGACCGGGGGGGATTTAATAGCCTTCATCTACATGAAGGGGGGTTACAAAGAGTGTGGAGCCAGACTATTCTCAGTGGTGGCCATGAACACTGCGTGACGCTGGAGGCTGGATGGCTGTGGCAAGCTCTGGCAGGCGGTGGCAGTGCTGGTGGCGGGAGTGTGGCGGTGATAAGCATGGAGCTTCCATAGGTATCCACAGTGCTGTTGGTGGTTGGGGTGGGGTGGCAAGCGGCGACTGCCCGCAGGCACTGCCAGCAGTGTCGGCAGCGTCTTTTCGTAGGGGGCATACCACCACGCTCGGGGTGCACGTGCACCCTCTATACGTCACCAATGGTGGTGGCAGATGACAGAACAAGGAGCAACGGTCTCAAGTTAGAGCAAGGGAAATTTAGGTTAGATACTAGGAAGAATTTTCTCACTAGGAGGGTAGTAAAAGACTGGAACAGGCTATCTAGAGAGGTGGTGGAATCTCCATCCTTGGAGGTTTTCAAGACCCCACTAGACAAAACTTTGGCTGAGAGGATCTAGTTGGGGCTGGTGCTGCTTGGAGCAGGGGGTTGGATTAGATGACCTCCTGAGGTCCCTTCCAACCCTAATTTTCTATGATTCTGTGAAACCAACCAGTTTGTGTAAAAAGCTCAACTAGCCAGTGACCACTTTCTAGAAGAAAGGTGTGCTTCATATACACTGGATACTATTTATTTTTCTCAGCAGAAAATATCTGGAAGTTACTACAGGTAGCTGTGCAGTCTATTTTTATCTTCATGACTTTTGCCTGCTGTGGGACTGATAAATATTAGGCTAGAATAAGAGAAATACAATACTGAAGCTGATTAATTTCTGCCTCTAGTGGAAATGCACTAATAAGCCATTGAAGTGGACTTAAGTTGGCAGACAGTTTCACTTTGCAATAATTCTTCGAGTTAAAAAAATGCAGCAATTTGCTTCATATTTTAAGTTCAGTTTTGTTCACTGGCAATTCATGTGGAAAAAACTTAAATATGTAGTGTTGCCATTTCTTCCTTGAATATTAACTTCCAATGCCCATAATGCTTAAAGAAAAATAAAATCCCATAAATATTAGCACACTTATTGCAGGAACGTTCTGGTGAGTTTCCTTACTGAAACAGTCTGCCTCTGTGGTATTCAAATGGGCTTCAGAAATGAACTATTTGGCACATTATCAAGTTACAGTAGGCATTTGGAGTACCATGTCATTTTTTAAACTGTGAAAGGCAAAAGTACTAAAAGAACTTTCCATGCAGTGTGTGGTGGAATGGAAAAGAGATGTGAGATACCGCACTATGCCTGAGAAAAGCGCATTTCCTCCACTTCACTGTCCTGGTTCTAACATCCATCTTATGAGCATGCTGATTCCCAAGAGGAATTTCAATACCTCCACAATATTACACAGTTAAAAAAAATTACATATTTTACAGCTTGCCATCTTATCAACCTGCCCACAAATACCAACTGTTGTGAATCTGAATAGTGGGGAAAAATCAGAAGTCTGTGTATCAAATCAAAGACACTCAAGTTTGTCATTAATATTTTCTTAATTATTCTTTAGCTTCCTAAGAGACTTCACACATGCTGATGTCCTTCAGTGTTCCTGTGTCTTCTGAAAGACACAGGCTTTAGAACTGCGATGTCTGGGTAAATGATATGGTGTCAGATTTATCTACAGCAAAACCTCCATTGATATAGGATTTCTTAGTCTCTGTGTCATCATTATCAAGTATTGTTGTTTCCAAGGCAAAAGGATTGACTATGTTGACTTCAGAAGTAACATCCATCTGCTCCAGCTCTCTTTTGGAGAGCTTCTCCACAATCCCTGCACCAAAGGCATCTCCAAGGACATTCACCATTGTTCTGAATCGGTCTCTATGGAATAAAAATACAGTCAGGCAGGTTAACATTTCTGGGATAGGCCTTGCTAGAAACTTGCTTCCTGTTTAAATTTTAAAAATCATGTTTATTGGGTTTAAAATTAAATCACTACAGTAGACACTGAACTAATTGGAGTTACTGTTGACTTTTATTGGGGTAGTAATGAACAGCAGACTTTTTTTCATTGTCTTTTCTCTAGGCAATGTTGTTTGAAGGAGTATGCGATAATAACATTATAAAGGGCCTATTTAGAAAGTTTAGATCACACTGCAGTTCTGTTGTTACAGAAGTCACAAGGTGGCACTATGACACACAGCCTTACACATTCTTGTCATACAGAAAGCAGGCCAGGGTGGCACCTTAGGGCATTTTTACACGTGCTCTGGGAATAGTGGTGGAGGCGCTTTAATTAGAGCAGCTCTGTTCTAATTAAAGTGCCCGAAGCGTCTCGTGTATCTGTGTCCCTGTGTTTCAAAATGGTAGTGGGGGTGCTTTATTTAAAACTCATCAAATGAGCTTTGAAGTGCCTCCATCACCATTTTGAAGCATGGGGACGCTGATGCATTAAATGTGGAGGCTGGCTGGAGCGTTAATTAGCATGCTCCAGGAAACTCGATTAATTGACTCAGCTGTAATGTGCTGTAATTGCCTTGTGTCAGAGCAGCCTTTCAGCACATGTAGGTACCTTAGACCAATTCTTTAACTCTAAGGTGTCACCCTGCCCTGCCTTACGTCCGACTTCAGAGAAACATGACTAACTGTATCTCCAAATACTTTTCATGTGAGCACTGCTCTGACTTTGTAGATATGTTGTATTGCTGGTGGTTTTGTTAGGAGGTTTCTTTTTGGAGGGACCTGTAGTGAACAGGAGGAGAGTTGGCTCATTCAGTTCTTGGGGAGAGCTGCTCTCTGGGAAATGGGCACTGGTAATTTTGCTGAGATTCTTGATGGAGGGAAATGTATGTGCTGTTTAACTACTTCTATTTAAGGCCCAGTGTGTACTTTGTAGGTAAAATTACACTGGGGGCATGTACACAAGATGCTTCCTGTGCAGTACAGCAAATTACTGCATAGTAAACATCACTGTCTACATATACAGGCCTTTACTGCACAGTAATTTGCTCTCCTTAGCAGTTAATTTGCTACCTGCAAATGCAAGTATCAAATTAACTGCCGAGTAATTACTGCACAGTAAGGCATGTGTAGATGACTGACAGGGATCTGCCCCACCCCCGCAGCTCTTTCCAAGCTCCCTGCCCCCAGTTGGGGAGCTGGGGCTAGGAGCTCCCTACTGCCAGGGCAGGGGGGCATTGTCCCCTGCCACCAGAGCCTGCCCTGGCAGCAGGCAGCTCCTGGGGGCAGGGAGCAATCTCCCAACCCCTGCCACGAGACAGAGCTGTCTGTAATTACAGTGTACTGGAGCAAACTCTTTCTGGTCCCATGCTCCCTGCCAGCCTCAGGACTAGCACTTTGGGAGAGCCTAGAGCTCCCCCCTGGCTGCTGCAGGGGGACAGAAGAGGGTGGTGAGCAAATCTGCTCCCAAATGTGCATACATGTACACTCCTGCCCAGCAACATTTGCACATGCAGATGCGCCCACTAAGAAATACTTAGTCTCTGTGCCACTGAGTGTTTTTATTCAAACTGGAAGCTGACTTGCTGGTTCCCAAATCATCTACCTCTTGGCAGAGGTATGCCAAAAGTTTGTCATTTAGCAGTGCTTGAACCATAGGACTGGGGCAGGGAATGGAACAGGAACCGGGAAAATGTAAAGTTGTCATTCCATTGTACCATTTTCCACTCCAGAACCCTGGGGAATTTCAGGTCTTCTTTCTGTAACAACCTACAGGTTTTAGTGGGGGATGATTTAGAGGGTGACATCAGGAAGCTCCACATGCTTGGAGAATTTTGCAATAGATCAGGGCACACTGTACCGTGTGGCTACAAGTAGCAGCACTAAGCACACAGCACTTCAAATAAAGATCTAAGACAGCAGTGTTTTTGGTTGGAGTGCTAAAAACATCCCAACCTTGACTCACACCTTGACTTAGCATGCCAGAGGCAGAAGATGGGGGAACTGCAAGGGGCCTGATCCTTGTTGCTGGTGGTGGATGCATGTGTGCGTCTAGTCCGATGGCAGGGGAGGGGTCGGGGTTGTGCTGCCCCTGGCCTGTTCCCTGCCATGTGCCCAGAGGCACACACAAACCTGATGCTGCCATGGAGTTGGTGCTGGGGCTCCGGACCCTGGTGCAGCTGTTTGTAGCCTGCCTGTTACCTGATGCAGCTGCCCGTAGCGTGGCCAGCTGTGGCAGGCAGCTGGGAGGCTGCAAACAGCTGCACTGGGCTCTGGAGCCCCAGCTGGGCTCTGCAGTAGTGGCAGCTGCATGTGCGCCTTGGGGTACATGGCCAGGAAGGGGCCTGGGGCGGTGCAAACCCAGCCCCACCCTGCCATCTGCCCAGAGGTGTGCATGCCAACAACAAGGATCAGGCCCCTTGTGGCTTTCCCGCCTTCTACCTGTTTTTGCCACAGCTGCCTGGAGCCCAGGCTGGCTGTGGTATGCCAAGCAAAATGGCCTTGTGTGCCATGTTCTGGCACGTGTGCTGGGGGTTGCAGCCCCCAGATCTAAGTTCTTTTAGTCCAAATGGAGTCCATTTATTATTGTATAGAGGTCTGTACAGGAAACATGTTCCACATCGGCTTAGCATAGTGGGGGCTTGGATTTAAGGAATGTTACTGCCAACACTGGAAGCATTGAGAGTTTCAGAGTGGCAAGTGGTTCTGGTTGAAATTAATTTCATAAATGAATGTTCATGATGACTTCATTTTTTCTGAGTGTCCTTACAAAAAAAAATCCTTGCTCAAATATTTACAAATACAGAGACTACACACACTGTAAGTGAACCAGCATGCTTTATATATGAATACTTTTCTACATTGCTTATCCATCTTGCATGCTAGAAAGCTTCTGTGTATAACATGCTTGATTTGGATGAAACACATGGTATGGGGCATAAAAAAGAGTAAATTTGAGGCACCCATGGGATAATTTTAGAAGTGAGGAAATTATGGAAAACACCTTTTTGGTACTGTTTGACGAATGTAGATTTCTCCATTCTACAAAAGAATAAAACAAAAAACAACCCCCAAATTGTAAGACTTGACAAACCGGACTAAGAAAGCTTTAGGGTTCTAAATTAACTACAGGATTGTTAATGAGCCACTACGTCAGGGTGTAAAATGATACATTTTAGGCAATAAGTATGTGAAGTAAAAGTATTAATAAACTACATGGCTTCCTAGTTTATGTTCCATCTGCTGAGGTGCTAAATGCTCTGACAATGATTCCTGCTGTATAAAATTAACCTTTCATTTGCTTTACACATCAAAAATCCTTTGTTTGAAAAGTATGTATAGGTCAGAATTTTAAATGAGACTGCCTGAATACTCAGGTTTTTTTAGGGGGGTGATTTAAGGTGGGAATAGATTGCTTCTATATATTAATTATAACCATAGCCATGGATCACACAGAAAATTAACGGATCCTTGGATCCATTTAATGGACTATTGGTTTCCTGGAGCATGTTAGTATTGTAAGCTACTGTTTACAGAACTAAGTTACAAAGTATAAAAAACCCCTGTAAAATAAGGCTCTGAAATATATTGGCCTGTGCCAGTAAGCCACCCTTTCAAAAACAAAAGGGGTAAAGAATGTCGGCTCAGAGGTAAATGGGCGTCTGACAGAGTGGAATGCCAGAAATGTTAATTGTTGGCAGCTCAGTCTTGGCTCAGTGTGAGCAGTTACAGCTTTGCAGTGTATGCAAGTCACCTTGTCCTGTCTGGTGCTACTTTCCCTTGTGTGGGTTGTTAGGACTTGAGGGCACATCCCATAGTTCTTTGTGCTTTGGTAAGCTGATCCACTTTATGGTTCTTTCCCAGTGAACTGTGGCACAACTGGTCTTTCCTTCTGGGTACCGAAGTTGAACTGTGGGAAGGCACTGGTGGACTTGCAATTGAATAGTTTAGCCTGCGTCCTCACCACAAAATGGGTAAGTTACCAAGCTAAGTGACTGTGACAACTGAATCTTATTTAAACCGCCAAGAGTGTCAGATAGCCCCAGTATTAGACCACTACTAGACTTGGGTCAGAAGGCTTTGTGCTTGGACAGAGATGAGGGATGGTTGGAGGAAATACTTGAATAAAGGCCTGAGTAAATGCTGCAACATAAACAGATCCCTACAGGTAGAGAGAGCTGTGCTGGAAGCAGGGAGGAAGAGGTACAGCACTCAGCCAGTGGTGACTGAAGGCATTATGCTTGCAGGTACAATGCCTCTGAGAAACACTGAGGACAGTACTGAAAAGCAACCCTTACTTTAGCTTTAGGAAATAAATCAGCACTGAGGTCAATGCATCTGCCTGGTTTCTACCAACTGACGATCTGGCCTGTAACGTGCTCCCTCGGCAAATCCCTCCTACAGAGATGATGTGAGAAGTATAACTGAAGCAAATGTAATGGGGGTCTGACAGACCTGCTTCCATCTTGGTATCTGGTGAAGACGTTTTAGCTGCATCCAGACGTGCATGGACATTTGGTTCCTTGGGGACAACTAGTGGTGGTGCACCTTGTGCTGTAGCTAGTAGTCCCTGGGGAATGCCTGTATCATAAGCATGCTGGCACATGGCAAGCTGCCCTGGGTGGGGCAGGGGAGGCTGGGGCCAGCACTGGGCTGGCCCCAGAAGCCTTACCTGGGGTCCTGGGGACTTCCTGGGGCTGCAGCAGTGGCAAAAACCAGCAGAACGTGGCTCTGGCTGGCCAGGCTCTGGCTTTGGGTAGCACATGCTGCCACTGCATACACAGCTCCACTTTTTTTCTCCGTGGGTTTTTTTTACCCCTGGATATCCAGGGGCCTTGCAGCACAGAGAACAACATTATGTGTGGTATGTGGTGCCATCTCCGATGCCAATACCGCATGGCCGTGCTCATTTAGACGCGGCC